TTTTTAAGGATTGATAATGTTTGTAACATGCAGTAGTGCATCACTTGAACCAAAAGTAGTAGTGTATCACTCGGTGAAAACCCCAAGGGATTGTGGTTTTTTTTCTACCAATGGGAGCTTTCCCTTCACCTCCCCCATGGGGTTGTCAACAGGGTTCATAACTACCCCTCCTACTACGGGGTGTTTACCTAGCCAACACTTAGATCCAGCTCTACCCAAAAAAATTCGGTTCACCCCAACATTACCCATTTGTCCAACTGTTGCTAAGTAGTTTTGTGATACTAAACGGACCTTCCCAGATGGTAATAAAAAAGGCATTAGTGCTTCTTGCGGCACGTCACCTAAATTGCCCCTAAAGTTGCGAAAAATTATCCATCTATGCCACCTATAAGTGATAGGAAACGTTACGCACAGGGAATCCCCTGCCAGGGCCGACCCATGTAGTAGGAACCTCTTGTACTGCGCTCTACGCACTGGAAGAAGACACAACACGCCTGTTTGAGCCGGCCCACATTCGGGCAGCCTGTTTTTTATTTTCCGTCTTTGTCTTTTCTACTTTAAATAATTCTAAATGATTGTGGATTCAAAAAATGTTTGCGTTTTAAAAACAATTTTCATATTCATAAAATGTTCGTAATTTTGAAATGTTCGGAAAATCTAAAAAATGTTCATGATTTAATAAAAATGTGTATTAAAAAAGTTAATAAATTGAAAAACAAATGGCCAATTCAAACAATGTTCATGAATTGAAAAATATCATAAAAATTCAAAAACTACTCATGACTTACAAAATAGTTTATTCAAGAAATATTCGTTGATTCAAAAAATGATCATGAACTTCAAAAAATGTTTGTTAAATCAAAAAAAGGTTCATGAATTTCAAAAAATGTTGGAAATAGTATAAAATGTTCATGAATTTAGAAAATGTTCGCAAATCTGTAAAAATGTTGACGAAATTGAAAAATGTTCACAATTTCAAATATGTTCACAAGTTTAGAAAAATGCTCAAGCTTTTCAAAAATTGTTCACGATTTCACGAAAATGAGAGTGATACTGTATCTTGCTGATCCAGCAAAATGCGGTCATGACCATTGGAGATTATGGTTTTTTTTCTCCCGTTGCAACGCATGGGCCGTTTTGCTACTTACTATTAAGAGAGGAAGGAGGTTTAAGTTACAATCTGGAACCCCTGCAAGACCTCAACGGGGACCACCACCCTCATGGACACACGATTACATGTGTGTAGCGACCCCACCTGATCAAGCTCGCATCCATAACTCAAATTCTTTTTTAACAGGCCCATGTTGCTGGTTAAGGGGGCTCATTATGGTAAACAGTGAGTCACCGAGGCTTTCTGTTAGGATTGTGGATCTGCTATGTGGATGGTTTATAATTTGTTAATTGATTTTGTTAAGCATGAACGGCTTTTGTGGCATTTCCCATAACAATAAATAATTGTGCATGATTATGTGCAACAATAGCTACAGAGTTTGGGCGCCATCCTCCGTTTGCAAAAGAAATAGTAGGAAATTTAAATACACAAGTAAGGTCATTTGCAAAAAAAGGCATACGGGTAAATTGTTGAGAGTTATTGTAGATGAATTTTTTTGTTGGTTAAAAATGATCTCAAAGCTCTTTTTGATGATTTTCATAGAGGGACTTTAGACATAGCCATGCTAAGCTATGGGATTATCACTTTGATGCCCAAAACAAAGGATGCAAATCAAATACAGAAATTCAGGCCAATATGTATTTTGAATGTTAGCTTTATATCTTTTAAAAGTGCCCATGAATAGGTTGAATGGAGTGGCTATGGAAGTTGTTTCACCCATTCAACTACCTTTATTAAAGGGGGACATATTATGGAGGGGGTGCTTATACTCCCTCCATTCCACAATGTAGCGCGTACAGATTTTTTTGGAAAGTCAAACTTTATAGACTTTGACCAAGTTTGTAGAGTGAAACATATACATCTAGAATACCAAATATATATCCTTAGATACATCACAAGACATACTATCATATTGTATATATTTGGAATTGTAGATATAAATAGTTTTCGGTACAAACTTGGTCAAAGTTTGTAAAGTTTAACTTTCCAGAAAATCTATATGCACTACATTATGGAACGGATGGAGTATTATGGAGGGGGTACTTATTTTAAATGAGGCATTAATAGTATACACCACAAGAAGCAAAGTGTCGTACTTTTTAAATTGGATTTTGAAAAGGCCTATGATAAGGGCCAAATGGCCTTTCATTTTTGAAATGCTCAAAATAAAAGGATCCGCTGATAAGTGGATTCATTGGGTTAAGCATACCATTATGGGGGGGATGTTAGTATAAAGGTTAATGGTAATATTGGCCCTTATTTTCCTACACATAAGGGGTTAAGGCAAGGAGATTCCCTGTCTCCCTTAATTTTTTATCTAGTTGTTGATGATTTGACTATGCTCATGGGCAAAGCTAGGGGTAATGGTGGGGTCAATATGCTCTAGTATTCTGATGACATTGTTTTTCTTTTACAAGATAATTATTATCATGCTCATAATTTGAAATTTAATCTTTGTCTATTTGAACTAGCCTGCCCTAAAAATCAACTTTCATAAGAGTGAATTGTTTTTGTTTGGAGATGCTATTAGCAAGGCAGAAAACTATGCAAAAATCTTTACTTGTCCTATAGGTTCTCTTCCTATGAGATACCTTGTATTACCCGTTGATGACAAAAGAATTAGAAATAAGAATTGGAAACCTCGTGAAGATAAAATGCAGTAATTGGCAAGGTAGAATATTTGTTAGTCCTACTATAATTACTTTAATACAGTCTTCACTGACTGGTATCCCTTATTTTATGATTTCTTTCTATCGTTCCCTAGTGTGAGTTGATAAGATAATGGATTATTTTACAGCAGGGCTCTTATGGCATGAAATATGAATAAGTAAACATATCATTTAGTTAAATGGTCTGAGGTTGTAGTCCTAAAGATATGGATGGTTTAGGTATTCAAAATTTAGCTTTGACCAATAAAGCATTGTTATGTAAATGGTGGTGGAAACTTTTCAACACTGAAAGATTGTGGTAGATGTTATTCTGAACAAATATCAGAAAGGAGCGTGCCTTTCATGGAGCAAACCCAAACAAGGTGATTCTTAGTCTTGGACAGAACTTTTAAAACATAAAGATCATTTTTCTCTTTATGTAAACTTATAGTTGGCAATGGGAAAATGTGAGGTTTTGGGAAGACTGGTGGATTGGGGACAAGCCTCCAAAAAGAATTCTTCTAAACTATACAATTTATGTTTTGGTAAGAACAAATATGTAAATGAAATTCTCTGCAAAGGGTCTGATTAGGTCCAGTTTATAAGGACCTTGTATGTGGATTCATTAGAGTTGCGGGACAATATTAAAGAAGTTTGTGCTACAGTAGTTTTGACATACCAAAAGGACTCCATCAGATGGACACTTACTAAGAATTGTATATATTTAATTAAATCTTACTATAGGATCTTGGCTGGAAATGGGATCAAATATCCACATAACTTCTTGTGGAAGTTAAGATGACCCTAGAGTTAAAGTGTTTATTTGGCTGGTGCTTACAAAATAACATCCTACCTAATGAGAATCTTCTTAGGAGAGGGTGGCTTGGTGATAATAAATGCCGATATTGTGGAAGGAATGAATCTATAAATCTTTGTGGAAGGAATGAATCTATAAATCATTACTCTTGCAGTGTTCTATTGCTAAATTGCTTTGGAATACCATGAAGTGTTCTTTCAATCTACATGATATACTTGATAGTGTACATGACCTGTTCAACATTTGGTTATTAAGATTTCATAAAAATGAAAAGAACCTAGTTGTGGTTGGAATATTTGTTGTTTTCTAGACTATTTGGAAATTGGGAAATAATATTATTTTTTATAACAACAAGGTGACTTATCCTTGTGCTCCTGTTAATATGATTATCAAATGGCCTCATGATTGAAATATTTTGCGGAAAACCCCCATAAAAACAAAGAACAATGAAGTGGGGCGTAAAAATGGTTGAGCTAAATGCAAGTGAAGTCTTCAAGACGACGCATAGGTGGTTGGGTGATCTTCAGGGGAACTCTTTGTCCCTCCTACCTTTGGCTGATGTTGAAGATGTTCATTGGCTATCCTGCTTTGAAACTGTGGTATGTTGATGTATGGTTAGAATTTCCCTTATACTTTCGTATTACCATTTCCTGGACGCTTGGTTTGTAGGCTCCTAGGATGATGGCTTTGGAGTTTATTACTAGTGTAAAAAAAACTTTCTTATATTATGGGACAGAGGGAGTGGCTTTTACGGGTTACCGGTTAGCTATATATAGCCTTTTGTGGTCTTTTGGAAGCCGTTCGGGATAGCCCTTTCTGCTCCCTCTTGATCGTTTATGTTCCCTAGTTCTAGTTGTTGTATAAGACATCGTGGTTTCCGTTAATGAAAATCGGAGGGAGAGCTCTCTTTATCAGGAAATAATAATTTGTAGATGACTTTTCAGCTTATGTCCTACTATTTGATACTGGAATAACAATGTCGTAAATAGATGAAATAGACTTGGGGGTCAATAGCTGCAGTATAGAAGCTACTGTAAAATGCCGTAGAGAGCGTCAATGCATGTGCAGTCGGAATCTATTGGCCTGATTTCTTCCTAGAGCTGGTCTCTTTAAAATATATCTGACTAGTTATTTACATTGGAAGCATATATGTAAATAATTCTCCGGAAATTTCCATTACTATTGGAAGAGTGGATTGTGCGAGCAAGAGTCAAGACAGATTGCACCCAAACGCCACAGATAAGACGCCAGCACTCTGCCCATGAGCTGATGAGCATATATGTAAACCCATCTGTCAACTAGTAATGCAGCAGATTATATGCAACACTACAATTCAGAAGCTGCATTTGCCCGAGCAGAAAACAGTTGTCCATGAGAAGCACTGCAAAAGCAAGATGTCCATCCACAAACACCTCAACGGCATCTAGAACCCGTTCATCTCCAGCAGATAGGTGCGCCGCTTCATCAGCGCCTTGGCCGCGAACCTGAAAGGCCCATCGAACGCGCCCGAGACAAAAGCATCAGTCTCCTTCCGGCCAACGTGACAGCCACCAGCCCCATCGCCGGAGGGCTTGATGACGACCAGGGTCGCGCCCTGCAGCCCCAGGCCGCCGGGCAGCTCGAGGTACGGCGCGTACTTGAGCTTCATGCTGCACGCCGGGACCTGCGTCCTGTTGGAGCACGCCGAGGCCGACAGCCGGTTCTCCCTGAACTCCGCCAGCTGCTCCGCCCCCATGCACAGCGTCCCCTGCCCGTCGGCGTCCGCCAACACCAGGCTTCGCAGCGTCGGATGCTCCTTGATGATCGACCGGAGGAGGTAGTGCCGCGTCGACGCGGCGATCAGGGAGCTGATGGTCCACACCACGCGGAGCTTCAGCCCGCCGTTGGTGTAGAAGGACTCCGGCATGCTCCCGCCGTCCTCCGCCGACGGCTCGTGCCCGGCGGGCTTGCGGTCGACCAGGGTGCCGCCAAGGATCACGCAGCTCTGGAGCGTGCTGCCATACCTGGCCCGCCACTTGAGCAGGACGCCCTCCTCCGTCCCGACGTCCCCCGAGGGGAGCTCCACCCGGAGGTTCCGGACGTGGGAGAAGCCCCTCAGCACCTGCACGGGCGAGTGCTGCGCGAGCCGCGGGAACAGAGGCCTGCCGCCCGCGCCGCCCGGGCCGCGCATGCCGTGAAACGGCTTGGCGATGGTGAAGAGCATGAGCTTGAAGAGGTGGGAGAAGATGTGCCGGGGCTTGGCGGACGACAGGTTGAGCGCGTCGTCGGGGTCGCCGTCCACGGCGACGACGCGGTCGATCTTGACGTACACGTCGTGGACGAGCGGGACCAGGTCGTTGAAGCGCTTGGACACGGCGGCGCAGCGGCCGAGCGAGTGCACGTCCTCCAGCTTGTTGAGGATGAGCAGGACGAGCGAGTCCGGCAGGCAGTCGATCCGGTCTAGCTCCGGAGCCGCCGGGTCCGCGTGGATGCGAGCCTTGGGATGCATTTTTCAGACTCTGAACTGCTACGAACGAACCAGCAATTTCTTTTCTGAAACAAAAACAATAGCTATGGTAAGAGCTAAGAAAACGAATTTGACGGGGGAGGAGCTGAGCTGCGCAAGGCAGCATTTCATTTGTCACACAAACTTGGTGCGCAAACGGCCTGAGCTGAGCCAGCAAGACACATCCAATCCGACGCCAGAAAAATTGTCTCTACAATGCGACTGAATCTCTCCACACAAAACACAAACAGGCGTGCGGGACGAGCAAAAATCCATCCATGGAGCAGTACTGCCATCGTGCTAAGACTAGAAACCGAACCGGGGCAGATGAACCAAGAAGGCTGTAGTACTTACCACGAGGACGGCTACGGGCAGCTTGGCGGCGGCGAAAACAATGGAACGAGGTGAAACCGACCGGCCCCAAATCCGGCCTTCCGCCCAGAACCCGGCCGGATCCCAGCTCCGGCGAGCGCGAACTAACGACAGCACCCCACGCGGGCAGCCGGGAGCTTTGGATTCTGGCAGTGAGCTAGCGCGAGCAGGGAAGGGGAGGGGAGGGGAAGAGGATGTGGTTTGCTTTGCTGTGGGGAATTTCTGGTCTCGGGGTCTCGTCCCGGGGACGTTTTCTATAGGAGGGGAAGCGTGCTGCTCGCCACTGGGTGTGGGCGTGGCTTGGGGAATAGTACTGCCTTGGAGGGAGGCGACGGTGTCGCTGCGGCGCGCGCACGGGCCTACGTTAATTTAATAACGCCGTTTTACGTGGATAGACTCGGGCCGACGCACGGTGACCGGGTCACTCACGTCACGCACGCGCCTGCGCCTTTGCGCTTTTGCCTGGTCGGCAAGCTAATTTCCCCTTCGCTTTTACTACGAGAAAGATTGAGCACTAATAAGCGATCAGAAACAGAGGACGTGGCAGAAAGATAAGGCGGACGGTAGTTATGCTGGGACGGGTCCACCACGTTTCTGTTTCCCTAAGAGGCGACCGAGAGGCGATCGGGAGGCGGCGCTAGGGTTAGGGTTTTGAACGTCGGGTGGTGATCTTCAGGGCAGCGAGGACGCGGCGACGGCGTTGGGTCTCCGGCTGTGCCCGGTGGTTTTTTGAGCCCCTCCTAGTCGGGGTGACCATGGCGTCGTCCTCGAGTAAGGGAGAGAAGGCGACCTCTGTGGCAGCGACCCCGGTGAAGCGGACACCGCAGAAGACGGGGGAGACGGGAGACAAGGTGGGACGGAGATCCTCGGAGTCTCCGGCCGACGGCAAGTCCACGGAGGAGGCGGCGTTCCTATCAGCGAAGATGGGCGGCCTGGCGCTGACAGAGAAGGAGGCGACCGGGTTTGTGTTTGAGGAAACTGAGCCAATATCGAAACGCGAGATCAAGTGGGCTGTGGTGGGCAAATCTTTCTCCCCGCGACCTCTTATCAAGCGTGCTTTCGAGAGAGCCATGCAACGTGCATGGGGACTCCACAGGGAGGCCCAATTCAAGATGCTTGGTGGAAATATGTTCATGATCAGATTCGGAAGCGAGGGGGACTGGAAGCATGTTCTGAATAACGGCCCATGGCAGTTTGACTTCAATGTGGTAGCGCTGAAGGAATGCGATGGAGAGACTAGGCCTTCTGAGATGATTTTCGATGCAATTGAGGCCTGGGTTAGGGTTGATGATCTTCCTCTGGATAAAAGATCGAAAGAGTTTGGGGAGGCACTTGGAAACTGGCTAGGACAAGTTGTAAACGTTGATGTCGGAGAAGATGGCTTTGCAAGGGGAACACAACTTAGAATAAGGGCAAGGATCGCGCTACATGAACCCCTCGTTCGGGGTTTCTACCTTAAGAAGAAGCCCGACGACCTGGAGAAGACTTGGTTCGATTTTGCATACGAAAAAGTCCCTCGCTTCTGTTTTGACTGCGGCAGATTGGTGCATGTGGATGGTGTTTGCGATCCCCCAGTGGATCCATTGTTGCAGTGGGGGGAATGGCTACGGGCATCCCCCGGTAGGGCTTCGTCGAGTCACCAAGAGAAGAAGCATTGGCAGGGAAATTCAAGCAAAAACTTTAGCAGAAAGAGTTCAATGTCTAGTGGAGGGGACGTTGGTCCGGAAGGGCAAGCATTTGTGCGGGACCTACCAACGCGCAGGTCTCTATACAGAGACTACACTCCGTCGGCTGATTCCCACACTGGTGGGTCGAGGCGAAAAGAGAAGAATCATGAGGAGGAGGTGCTAAGCCCGCAAAAATCGCACACTGGTGCAGCGGGGGGAAAGGAGAAGGACCTGCGTCAGGATCTAGAGAAGAAGAAAGAGAAGGTACTGAGAGATGAACTTCATCAGAAAGTTAGAGAGGGTGTGATCTCCCCCAAGAAGAGTCAGGACCATAGAAGAAGGCAGCAAGGCGGGGAGGAAGCGGCACGAAAGGAATATCACCGGAGGCCGGGGTACTATGTTCGCAAACCCAGAACAGAGGGGAGTTCCTCTCGACAGCGAGATGAACACCGCTGGTATAACCCTGGTGAAAGGAAAAGACCATCTAAACAGATGTGGGTGCCGGTGGGAGAAGGTGTTCGGAAGGAGGGTATCGATGCTCTGGTTGGTGAAAATGGCAGAAGGTGTCGTCAGTCTTCGAGCGCATCGGTGTACAGGAAGCTAGATCGGCGGACCCCGGATGCCGGGGCCGCCGGGAACAATGAATATCCTTGTGTGGAACTGTCGGGGATTGGGGTTGGACCCGACAGTCGGAGAGCTGAGGGACCTCATACGGTCTCACAACCCAGCGGTGGTGTTCCTGAGCAAGACAAAAAAGACAGCGCGAGCAATGGAAAAGGTGAAGTGGAGTTTAGGGTTTCGGAATGGGGTGGCAGTGGATTGTGTGGGGAGAAGTGGTGGCTTGGCTTTGCTTTGGAGGGATCATCTGTCTGTCACGGTTAGGCCGTGGTGCCAGTACTATATCGATGCAGAGATAGCCTTTGAGGGGAAAGCAGTTAGATTCACTGGAATCTACGGAGACCCGCGGACGGAACTTAGAATGAAAACATGGGATGCCCTACGCTATTTGAGGAGACAGGATAACTTACCTTGGGTGTGTGCAGGTGATTTCAATGAAATCCTCTTCCAAACCGAGCAGCGTGGGGGGAACACAAGGAGTTTCAAGCAGATGGAGGACTTCAGGGAGTGTTTGGGTGACTGTGACCTTGCGGACTTGGGCTTCACTGGGTATCCTTTCACCTGGGACAACAAGCAGGATCAAGAAGCCAACATACAGGTCAGGCTTGATAGAGCTACGTGCAATGATGAGTTCATGAGTGTTTTCCCTGAGACGACGGTCCAGCACATTCTCACTGAATAATCGGACCATGCGGCGGTGATCATCAGGGCGGCTGCATCACCGGATGCAAGCAAGAGGAAGAAGCCGGGAGGCTTTAGATATGAGGAGGCATGGACGAGGCATGAGGATTATGAACACATGTTTGCATGTGAGTGGGAGCAGGCCAATCAGCAACATGGGACGACGGCAAGCTTAAGCACAAAACTAGGCATGCTTTCCAAGGCCATGCAAACATGGGGTCAAAACGTTTTTGGCTCCCTGCGTAGACAGATTGCGAAGCTAAAAGTGCAGCTCAAGGATGCGAAGGACAGATCGTTAGCGACAGGGTTTTTCCAGGAGGTGAAGGACATTGAAGGACAGCTTCATGATTTGTACGAAAAGGAGGAAATTTATTACAAGCAACGATCTCGTTTAGACGGGCTGCAATGGGGGGATCAAAACACCAAGTATTTCCAAAATCGCGCTTCTCATAGAAAGAGGAAAAATACGGTAAAGGCCCTATATAGGGAAGATGGCACACGGTGCACCTCGGACGATGAGATGCGTGATTTGGCTGCGAGTTTCTATGCTTCGTTGTTCCGGTCTGAGGGCTCGAATGAGGCGGAGAGAGTGTTGCACCACATTGACATGCTAGTTTCAGAGGAGATGAACAAAAAGCTAACTGCCATGTTTTCGGATCAGGAGATTGAGACAGCTCTCTTCCAGATGGGGCCGACTAAGGCTCCAGGGCCGGATGGGTTCCCGACACTGTTCTACCAACGACACTGGTCGGTGGTGAAAGACGATATGTGCAAGGCGGTAAAGGATTTTTTACTTGGAACTCATTCACAGGAGGGGTTCAATGACACTATTATTGTGATGATTCCAAAGGTCAACTCACCGGAGCTTCTATCCCAGTTCAGACCGATAAGCTTATGTAATGTACTCTACAAAATCGCTACAAAAGTTCTTGCTAATAGATTAAAGGGAATCATCCCATTGTTGATCTCGGAGGAACAAAGTGATTTTGTGCCTGGAAGGTTTATCACGGATAATGTCCTAGTTGCATATGAGTGTATCCATGCAATAAGGAAAAGGACTAGAAGAGTGCCTCTGTGTGCGGTCAAGTTAGACATGATGAAGGCATATGATAAGGTGGAGTGGGTTTTTTTGCACAGGGTGTTGGAGAGGTTTGGTTTTAGTGCAGTTTGGATCCAGATGATAATGAGATGTGTGACCTCCGCAAGGTTCCGAGTGAAGCTCAATGGGGGGATCTCTGATTCTTTTCTACTGTCGAGGGGCCTCCGCCAAGGTGATCCATTGTCACCATATCTCTTTTTGTTCTGTGTAGAAGGTTTTTCTGCTCTGCTAAGAAATGCACAAGAAGCCGGTGACTTGAGAGGGGTTTCATTTGGGAGCACTGGCCCCATGGTAACCCATTTGCTCTTTGCGGACGACAGCATTGTTTTTTTGGAAGGATCAGAGAATAACCTCTTGACACTCAAGGCGATATTGGGGGACTATGAGCTGGCATCAGGACAAAAAGTAAACTTGCAAAAGTCGGCCATATTTTTTGGGAAGGGAAGTTTGTAGGACAACAAAGAGCACCTCAAGGCGGTTATTGGGATCAATTCGGAAGCCTTGAGTGAGAAATACTTGGGTCTGCCAACTGCGGTGGGCAAGTCAAAAGATGGTACTTTCAAATT